GAAACTGAAACTTATCATGCTAATAGGACACCTGGCCCGCTAGATTGTAATAGGATGCTAATCTGCCATGCTAATAAGGGATCCCATATGCTGTGGACTATTACCCCTATATAAGCCTGTACTTTCCTGCAATAAAGCAGATCTGTGTCACTGAACCTGGTCTCCTGCATCTGAATGTGGCGACGCTGGCACAGACCCCTCACCAGCTCGGAGGTCTGGACCAGACCACTGATCGGAGGAACTGAGGGAGCAGGAGAGCGACCATAGCTGGAGGAGAGCAGCCACAGCCGGCGACCACAAAGAATACAATTTTTTTTTTTTAAAGAAAATGAATGGAATACACAGAAAATGTGGGAAATAATAAGGACTTAAGTAGCAATTGTGATATTTTGGCAAAGAGTCTGGCTGGAGTCTGCCCACAGCCAAAAAGCTTGTCTGCAGCTAAGTTGAAAAGCAATGGACTAATTTCTCAGGTTGAAGAAATTTCAAAACAGCCTAATGTAGAAATGGTGGCATGGCTATTAATGGTGACTATTATGCAGATCTATAGTGAAAAAGAGCAAATGGGGTAGAAAGAAATACAGAATGTATAGTTTATATTGAAAAAGAGCACTAGGAAGATTAATGTTGGAGTCAAGGCATGTGCTAAAGGAGAGATCCCTTTGATAAAGTGATTAAAGTGATTAAGGAAAAGCCTATAAATTTACACTTAAAAAATAGAGAGAGTGCCTCTCAGGCAAGACCATACCCAGTTAAGCCTCCAGCTTGTGAAAGGAAAATGCTGCAGGGGTTTTCTACTAGAAAACCACTAAAGAGAAAACTTCTAAAGTGGATGAAGCAGGCTGGATGCATCCCAAACTTGCAGCCAAACTTGGCAGTGTTGTTCACCTGGTGATGGCTTTAGAGCCGTGAAAGATGCAAGAGTGAAGGAGTCATCAGTTCTTCCTCCACAGTTTCAAAGAGTCACTGAGGCCAAGCAGCATGCAGCAGGGGTTTCCCTGCACAAAGAAGGCCCTGATAGGCCATTGCATGAAGCTGTGAAGGTGAAGCCTGGAGACCCCAAGATGTTTGTGATGCCAAAGCTGTGAGGCATCTGCCAAGTATAGGGAGTGGTACCAGCACAAGAGAGAGATGTGTGTTGCACACAGCAAAGCTGGAGAGGCTGAGCCACATAAGCCCTATGGAAGTAAAGACCCAGAAGTTGGACGTGGAGCTGCTGGATTTGGTGTTTTCCCTGTTGGTTTTCGGTCTTGTTTTGGTCCAGTATTTTCTTACTATGCCTCCATTCCTCCCTTTTGGAATGGGAATGTGTGTTCAGTTCCACTTTATGTTGGGAGTATGTAATTTGTCTTTTGATTTCACTGGAGCTTACAGTTAAGAGACTGCCTGGAGTCTCAGAAGAGACTTTGAACTATGGACTTTTGAATAGTATTAAAACTAGTAAAGACTATGGGGATTTTAAGGTTGGACTAAATGCATTTTGCATTTTATATGGTCGTGAGCCTATGGGGGCCAGGGAGTGGAATGTGGTGGTTTGAATGAGAATGTCTCCCATAGGCTCTGAGAATTCAGACATTTTGTCCCCAGTTAGTGGTGCTGTTTGGGGAGGTCTTAAAAGGTGTGGCCATGCCATGGGGGGTGGGCTTAGAGAGTCCTTAATCCTTGCCATATCTTGAGTTGCTCTCTTGCTTCCTGTGCCTGCTTGAAGATGGGAGCCCTCTGCTTTCTGCTCCTGCCCCCTCCTGCCACCGTGCCTCCCCACCATGACGGACTGTAATTCCCCTGCAGCAGTAAGCTAAATAAACACTTCCTTTTATAAGTCGCTTTGGTCAGTGTTTCTATCACGGCAACAGGAAAGCAACTAATACACCACTCATCAAAGAAGCTTCTTTTACAAAAGACAGAGACTATTACAGAGTTCCACAGCTGGTCACACACAGAGAAAAATATTTATGAGACGCCCAACCCTAAGTGACACATCTACAATGGAACCTCTACACCTAAGGCTCATGGAACATAATGGAACAAGGGGCAGAGAAAATACTAACGCATCTTTCAATTCTCATCAGCAAAGATCCTTCATTCAATAGAAGGCAATGAACACAAAAGGCTGCAAATTGCCAAAGGATAGTGAGTAAGAGTCTGCAGAGTGTGGGTTCCTGAACAGGACTCCTATATTAAATCACACCCACTCAGGGCTCTGGAACCATTGCAGAAGAGGGGAGCAGAAAAGATTGTAAGAGCCAGAGGAGGAGGTGCATGACCATATGGAGAGTCTTACAGGCTCCTGGGTCTTACTCATATGAACTTACAACAATAGTGTGAGCATGCATAAGACCCATGCAAACTCAATCAGACAAAAACCCAGCATAGATATGGGGAAATGGACAGGAGGTACCAACCTTAGCCAAAGAACTACTGGCAGCTGATTACTACTGGGTGAGGGGAGAGTTGATCTTCCTTAATGGAAGAGGGACATCTGGGTACACTGACTTGACTCAATAGGCGTTAACATTAATGACAGAATGCATGAATCTGGTGGGGAGGCTATGGGAGGGTGCAAATAGGAGAGGGATATAAAGATGATTAACATGTTTTGTATGAAATACACAAAAATTCAATAAAATATACAAAATGTATAAAGAATTAGAGAAATAAAGGCAAATCCATAAACACAGAAAGATAGCATATCATAAATCAGTAAATACATGTGAAATGTTTGTAAATAAACTTAAAACATGAACAAGATCTTTATAGGAAAATTTTAAATTTTTTGAAGGATACAGGACAAAATGTGACTTTACACAGATATTTGTGTATCTGGAGGAGGAAGCTCAGCACAGTAAGGTCATCAGTCAGTCTCCATTTTAGCCTACAATTTTCAGTTCAATCTCTACTGAAGCACCAGCAGAAGTTTTAAGAAATATGATGAAACTATTTTAAAATGGAAATGGCGAAATATAAGCACACTAATGGTTTAGACAGTTTGGAAAGGGAACACAGGTTGCGGGGGGAGGGGGGTGTTTCTGCCTGTACTGAGGCAAGCATGCCCAAATCCCTAGACTTTTAAGCTGTGTAAATGAAACTTAAAACTCACTGGATGAATTCAAGAGCGTGTGGTAATGACTGAGGAAAGAGTGAGTTTAAAGATAGATCCAGAAATAAATAATAAAAAACACTGATGCTTGAAAGAAGTTTAAAAAAATAATGGCTAAAAATTACTCACATTTCACCAGAAACATAAATCTATAGATTTGAGAAGATGAGAGAATTCTCAATAGTAAAACTAACAAAACAAGCAAATTAGATGAGCATGGTGGCTCCTGCTGAGAATTTCAGCACTTAGGAGGAGTGCCATGAGTTTGAGGCTAGCCTGGGCTAAAGAAGGAAAGAAGGAAATAAAAGGGAGAGAAAGGAAGAGATTGAGAGGAAAGAGAAAGTAAACGAAGGGGAGGGGAGGGGAGGGAAGGGAAGGGACGGGAAGGGAAGGGAAAGGAAGGGGCAAGCTATACCCAGGCATATCATAATCAACAGTTATAAACTACAGAAAAATCTTGAAAGCAGCCAGAGGTAGAAACACATTACCTATGGGGACAATTCACATGACCAAGAACGTGAGACACATTGTTTATTTGCTGAAAGACCTGTCAATCCAAAGTTCTATACACAGTGAAAAGATCCTTCAGAAAGTAGGTGAAATAGGGCCGGGCATGGTGGTGCACGCCTTTAATCCCAGCACTCGGGAGGCAGAGGCAGGCAGATCTCTGTGAGTTCAAGGCCAGCCTGGTCTACATAGTGAGTTCCAGGACAGCTGGGGCTACAGGGAGACCCTGTCTCAAAAGACCAAAAAAAAAAAAAAAAGGAAGTGTAGGTGAAATAAAGACATCCTCAGATTCTGGAAACCAGGAGAATTCAGAGCTAGCCATTTTTTTTTTTTTCTAAGAGAATTGTTAAGTGAAGTTCTTCCAGCAGATGAAAAATGGTACAAGAGACTTGGACTATCCTGAATAAAATGGGAACAGCAGAAATGATAAATACTGGATTAAAAAATACACTATTCTTGAGTTCTTTAAAGTAAGTTTGATGGTTAAGAGACTAACCGCAGCACTGATGAGGTTTTTCCATGTGGGTACAATTGACACATGACACAATAGCATAGGGAGGAAGTGAAGTCCTTGGAGGTGGCAAAGTTCCATATTCCAGCTGAAGGGCTAAAATAATTATTTTAACTACAGAGGGCAAATGTATGCATTTTTTTATCCCTAGAGCAGCCACCAAAAACTATATAAAACAGGCATGGTGGGATGGTTCAGCAGATAAAGGCACTTACTGTCAAACCTGAACACTTGAGTTTGATCCTTGGAATCTTCTGGGAGAACGCCAACTCCTGAAATCTACAGCATGGCACATTCATATGCATGAACATACACACACACACACACACACACACACACACACACACAAATAAATATTAAAACCCTTTTAAAAACTATACAAAACAACATAGTCAAAACCACAATAATTTAGAAAGTAAATTTTAGAAATAGTCAAAATAACCCAAAAGAAGGCAGGAACAGGAAACAGAAGCAAAATTCAGAGGGAGTACATAGAGCATATTCATTAAGTAATATTCCTAAATCCAAAATCAATTATTAGATTTAAAAGAATGAGATATTCTATATATATACTAATTTAGTCAAATCTCTGAGGCATAGTGTGGTATAAAATGAAAGTTACAGAACAAAATGCCAATCATAACACCAGTTTCATTTTCAGTATATTTCAATTTCCAGGTCAATATAAACACAGAAAGGTCTGGAGGTGTACTCATAGCTAATTCTTTGGGGGGGGGTAGTTTGAGATAGGGTCTCCCTATAGTCCCAGCTGGCCTGGAACTCACTGTGTAGACCAGGCTGGCCTCAATCTCTCAGAGATTCTCTTACCCCTGTACAGTGAGCACGCTGGGCTCTCGGGGTCCCTGTGCGCACTCCCGGAATGGCATGGCGGGTCCGCAGGCTTCTCTGCCATGCGCCTGGAGGATGGTGGGTCTGGCTCTCGGGGGCTGCTGGTTCTCCGCTGCTTCCCTGCATCTTCCGTGGCTCTCTGCTGCTGGAGTATTGTCCAGCCGTGTTTCCGCGCTTATTTCACCCATGTACTTTCCTCAATATGCGAGTTCCACCGGCTGCTGGACCACGCAGGAAAGTACGGGGCAGCTGAAGCTGGGATCCGTGAGTTGGTGACGGAGGAATGCTGCCCCCCGGGGAGACTAGATTGCAGGCAGGAGACACAGACTCAGCTCAGTCAGATTCAGTGGTACAGCTCTTTATTCCAAGTCTCAGTGACCCAGTTCCTGCTCTAGCTCCAGCTCCGCTTCTAGCTCCAAATTATTGAGAGAAGACTGGGATATTTTATACCGTAGGGGCAGTGGTAAAAGCTATAGCTGATAGGTATTTTGGGGATGCCTCATTTGCGTGTGGAAATGGGCTCCTGCCATGCTGCCAGACTACTGAAAAATCACACAGGAAAGCATGGTATTTCCAGAGCCAGAGGCCATGTTTTCTATGGCGGCTACTTCAAAGGAGAGTCAGGAAGATGCCAGGTACTCTGCTGAAAGGAGTCATCTGCATATGAAACCGAGCCCGTGGGCCACCCGGACATGGAGAGACTACGGCTTCACAGCAGGGATCCCCAACACCCCTGCCTCCCAAGTGCTTCAATTAAAGGTGTGTGCCACCACATTCATCCAGTTAAACAGTTCTTGAAATCTCACTGCAATCACAGAGGTACAACAGTGTTAAAGGGAAATTTTCTCTGTATAATTTCAATTTTAGGAAAAGAATGTGTTTGTACACTACCTTGTCACTAAAATTACATGAACCGTAACTAATTTTAGAAGAAATTGTCATACACAGTGTGCTGGTGATACTACTATGTGGGAACTGGACATTTTTAGTTCCCCTGACTCAGGAGTATATCCAACTATTTTCAACAAAATTTGTCAAATGACATCATTAGCATATCAGTCTATTTCCTGCCAGTATCATTCAAATTCTACTTCTATTTTTCTTCCATTTCTTAAATTTAAATCCTCAGATCTGGAGCCCTTTAACTCTAAAATTTTGGGACATAATCTCCCTTTCTTTTACTTATTCCAACACTACGCTACTTTAAAAGAATTCAGTATTTTCAGAACATCTATTGCCGGTTATGTCATATATTATACACATTAAGAGATTATCTCTTCTGCCATTCTAAAGAGAGCTTTGCAGTGGATTTCAGTCACTAGTGGGGGTCATAAATATAATGTATTGGGTCTCAAATCAGTTTCTTTCTCTTGGTTTTTATGACAGTTTTAGGTTCATTACAAGATTGAGAGGGAGGCAAGAGATTCCCCATGTACTCTGGTTCCCACACATCAATGTTCCCCACCAGAGCAGGACAATTATCATTGTTGACAGGCCTGCACTGATACATCATAATACTGCTATCAAACTTCTTTAAGAAAATAGTATTCCATTGTGCTAAATTTTATTCCCTCACTATTAAAAACATCCATGTGTAGGATTATGAATGGACATAGGTGGCTATTGCTGGAGCATATGGTAAGAGCATGTTTAGTGTTACAGGCAATCACCAAATTCTGGGGCTGGAGAGATGGCTCAGCGGTTAAGGGCACTGGCTGCTCTTGCAAAGGACCTGGGTTTGTTTACAGCACCCACTTGGCAGCTAACAACCATCTGTAACTCCAGTTCCAAGGAATCCAGCACCCTCTTCTGGCTTCTGTGGGCACTGCACACACAAGTACACTTACATACATGTGGGCAAAACACTCATACACATAAAATAACAAATACATAAATTTTAAAAATCACCAGATTCTCTTTCAGAATGCTGTGTATTTTGCATCCCCACCAGCAGTGAATGAGAGTCCCTGCTGCTCCACAGCCTACCAGTGTTAGAAGTTTACCGTTCTGCATTTTAGCCATTTGTATTAATTTTCTGTTACTGTAGTAAAATACCATGACAAATAGCAACTGGGGGAAGAAAAGGTTTATTTTGGCTTATGGTCCCTGAGGGCTAGAGTCTGTCATGGCAGGGAAGGTGTGAGGGCAGGCATGGCAGCCTGAGCAGGAAACTGGCTGATCACATCTCATCCACACACAGGAAGCAGAGCAAAACAGGAAGTGGGCCAAGGCTATAAACCCTCCAAACCCACCTCCAGGGACATACTTCCTCCAGCAAGCCTGCACCATCTAAAGGTGCATAACCTCCCGAACAGCGCTACCAACTGAGACTCAGCTTTCAAACCACCACAGCACTCTGACTGCTGTGCAGTGGTGTCTCGTTGTCATTTTGATGTGCACGTCCCTGATGACTTGTGATGTGCAGCATCTTTCGTATGCTTATGTATCATCCGTGTGTCTTCTTTGGTGAGGTGTCTGTGAGGTGAGGTGTCTTTGGTACATTTTCAATCTGATTGTTTTCTCACATTTGAATTCTAAGAATTCTTTGAACATGTTGTATATATGTCTTTATCAAATACATGTAATATAAAGTTTCTCCCAGTTAGAGAGAGAGAGAGAGAGAGAGAGAGAGAGAGAGAGAGAGAGATGGGATAAAATAGAGAACAAATATTCACTTGAAATTCACATTTTACTGGGTGTTCTGTATTTGTGTTTGCTAACCCTGGTAATCATAATTACTGTGCCCTCAGTATTTCTTAAGGAAATGGGTTACACCCTAAAGTTGTCTCTAATGACAGACAAAGATTTTTGTAACGTCCTCATATAAATGGAGCAATACTATCATTTTGTGACTGACTTATTTAACTTCACAAAATGTCCTCAAGATTCAGCCATGTTGTACCACATTGCTGAATTTCCTTCCTTTTTAAGCCTGAACAATTTTTCATTGTATGTCTCTAAAAAATTTTGCTGATCCATTCATCTATCAATGGACCCTTGAGTTGTTTGCATCATTTAGATATTTGAGTAATGCTGCTCTAAGCACAGATATGCAAATATCTCTCCGAGATTCAGCTTTTCTTTGGGGTACATAACCAAAAACATAATTGCTAGATGATATGATCATTCTTCTTTTTTATTGGTTTTTGTAGAACTACATAATACTTTTTCTACATGGAGGTTATCTGTCTACTCTTCTGTCCATTACTGATTTAATATTCCCTGGCTTTCTGACCTTCTAAGATGTGTATCCTCTGGCCAGCCAAAGCCCCTGAGCATGGTCATGGGTACTTGTCTTAAGCTGCTTTTGTGGGAATGTTTGATGCTAAGGGAAAATGGATGGGGTACCAGCAGTGTGGCCTACAATGGTCCTCATAGGAAAGGATGATATGCACTCAGGCACCCCCACCCCAACACTGTTCTAGTTTCCATTGGTTCAAACAGCCAATTTCCCTAAGGGATTATGAGCTCAGTGTTCTGCTAAAAACTCAGGAAATGTCTGTGATAATGGATAAGGCATGCGACACATATATTCTCATCTGTGTTCTTGAGGAAGCAGCCCCCACATGGCCCAAAGACGAAAAAGGGATAGCTGTCTCTTTCATTTAGTATCATTCATTGAAATCATCTTCAACTCCAGTAGAGCAAGCATCAGCCATCCTTTTTGTTTAGCATATATTTTTATTAATTCTTTGAGAATTCCATACATACATACAATGTGTTTTGGTCAGAATCACTCCTGACTCCTCCCCTAACTCCTACCAGATCCACCTTCCACCCCACCCTTCCCAACTTTGTGTTTATCTATCTATCTATCTATCTATCTATCTATCTATCTATCTATCTATCTATCTAATCTATATCTATCTGAGACAAATTTGTGTTGGCCACACCTCATGGGTATGGGGTCATCTACTAGAGAATGAGCCATACTCTTAAAGATAACTGATTCTCCCTCTCCCAAAAGCCATCAGCTGTCAATGGCTCCTCAACTTCATGAGCCTCTCCCCCTTTCAAGCTTGTCAGTCATTCTTTTTTTTTAATTTTACGTGCATGAGTGTATTGCCTGCATGTGTGTAAGTGCAGCCATGTCATGCAATGCCACTGAGGTCAGAAGACAGCATTAGATCCCTGGAACTGGAGTTTCAGATGGTTGTTAGCTGCTATGTGGGTGCTGAGAATCCAACCCAGGTCCTCTGCAAAAGCAGTCAGTGCTCTTTTAAAAAATATTTTATTTATTATTTTTATTTATGTGTATGAATGTATTGCCTGCATGTATGTGAGTGCACCTGTGTCGTGCAGTGCCACAGAGGTCCAAAGAGGGCATCAGATTCCCCTGGAACTGGGGTTAAGGACGGTTCATAGCCACCACATGGGTGCTGGAAATCGAACCCGGGTCCTCTGCAAGAGCAGTCAGTGCTCTTAACCGCTGAGCCATCTCTCCAGCCCCAGCAGTCAGTGCTCTTAACCGTTGAGCCAACTCTCCAGCATACTTGCCAGCTATTCTTAAGTACCTCAATCATGCTGCACTCCAGCAAGCAGAAGGTCATAAGAGGAAAGGACATAAAAAGTAACCCTATTTGTCCTCCACCAGGAATGACTGTCATAGTCCAGCAAGAGTCTCTGGTCACAAAGCTGAAGGTCTTAGTAAGAAGCTGCCTAGTCCTCTGTAATGATGCCTTTGCTGGGTATTCTCATCCCCATTGGTCACCCACACCACTCTGACCATCATCACAAGAAAGGGGAGGGGAGGGTGTGATAAGCACTGTTCTCTCAGCCAGGGAGTGCCCAGTAAGAGATGCACTTATTTATTCCAGGGAGAAAGGGTTTTAATACAAGCATTCAAGAGCTTCAGCAGTGACTAGAAGTGTTGAGGGAAAAATAGAAATTGCTGCTTCATAAAATCACAAAAGGCTGAATTTCAGGAAAGTTGCTGACAAGCCCAGCTGCCCACAGTTCCAAGACAGGTGATTCTCAGGAGGTTGCCCAGAGGCTAGAGCAAATCATATGCATATGTATGTCCAAGCAGCTGTTCTCAGCTGCCAACAGGAATGCTGACTCCTTCTGCCTTCCAAGCCACCCGTGAACACCTTTAATTGGCCGATTCCCACCAAAAGCCACATAGGAAAGTGACCTTGGGAAATGAAGTTCCTGGCTCACCTACAATGCAGAGAAGAGAAAGGCGCAGGGCAGATGCTTAGTTGACAATGCCAACCCATCAAAACCCTGTGCCTCTCGTATATTAGAAGAGAATCCCGTGGACA